TCTTCTTCTTCGTCTTCTTTTTACATCGGTGTGATTTTTGGTGCTTCCCTTCAAAGTTTTTGGGGTGGCCAGATGTTGGGAGGAGGAGGAGGAAGAAGAGGACAAACTGAGTGAAGGATGGATGTCACTGGAAAGTGAGCCAGCACTTTTTTTCCTCCACCTCCTTTTCTGCGGTTGACTTGTTGAAAGTTTTGTGTTGGAAGGGTTTGCATGCATCACCGTACTCCAAACAAAGCAAGGAGACACATTCTCCACTTTAGGTATCTCCCACCCCCTTTTTTATTTCTAAGTTTCATCTTTCCACAGTGGAAGGCCTCGGAGGTTGCCGCCTGTCCGCTTGCTTCTCATTTTTCTTTGAGGGTCTATTTGGAGACAGGACACCAGCTGAACTGCTGTTCTGTGTCACAGCTGGACCGATATCTAACAAGGCTGAGGATGTGTGGGTCACAAGGTGCCCACTCATGGTTGGCAGTTGTAACGGTGTCGCAACCAGCCCGGAAGTCTTGTTCCTCGCTTGGCTTTGGACTCTCCGCTGAGGTGGGCTGGCAACTCTGGCCCTTCCGTAGGCATTGGGGATCAGGGCATGCCTGTCTTCTTCTGCCAAGGACATCCTGCCCAAAGAACCGCGCCTCTCAGAGCGAGGAGGGACTGAAGACGTCGGAGAAGCCAAAGTCTTGGGGAGGTTGCCAGGGCCGGTCATCACTCCCTCTTCGGTCTCGGCAGCTTCGCTAAGGTAAGGTGGTGGGAGGGTGCTGCTACGTTTGCTGCAAGATTCACAGCAGAGCTTCTTGTAGCCTGGGATGGAGCAGTACCTGGAGAGCACTTCCATTTGGCAGAAGATAGATTTGTCACCCAGGCATGGTTCATCTGAAATACAGAATCCAACAAGAGTCAAGAAAATAAGGACACAAGAAGAGCCTGCTGGAGTTCATTCATTCATTCATTCATTCATTCATTCATTCATTCATTCTCTTTCTTGCTCTTATTGTTTTCTACAAAATGAATATTTTAATTTGGATTTAGGTACACTTCAGCAGAAAACTGTGTTGCAAAATTCGGAAAAGTCTAAAAAACTGAAACATACCTGCGTTCTGATTTATTAGCCTAGGAATTGCAAATCGGGTTCGTTTGCTTTAAAATGCAAAATCCTTGAGTAACCTTAACACCAGGCTCCTTGGCAGAATCGTGTCCTTGTGTATCTAATTTCCTTATGTCAATAACAATTTCTTCAACATCCACATTTGCATATACAGCATGATCTCATCTTAGAGTTCGATTCCAAGGGTTCTGTGTATACACAAAAACGTATATACCCAAACCCTTGGAACTGTCCCTGCGCAAACACCCTGAGGCTTCTATGATCTCACAGGAACACCCCACAACTGGGTTTTCAACTCCTCTCTTTTGCACACAAACACCCGATTCAGATTTAATCTCAAGAAGGGAGAGCAACGTCTTCTCAAACTCAATTAAAGGAAAGGAATGCCCCCCCCAATGGAGCTGTGTGGCTACTTCAGCGCTTTCTATACCTCTCAGTGCATCCTGCTTCCCTCTGATATTCCTCTGCTTGCCTGCATGCAGCTTACCATTGAATCAAAGAATTGTAAAGTTGGAAGCGACCCTGAGGATCATCTAGTCCAGTGTTTCCCAAACCTGAGTCTCCAACTGCTTTTGGACTACAGTTCCCATCATCCCTGACCACTGGTCCTGCTAGCTAGGGATGATGGGAGTTGTAGTCCAAAAGCAGCTGAAGACCCAAGTTTGGGAAACACCGATCTAGTCCAACCCCCTGCAATGCAGGAATATGCAGCCGTCTCATACAAGGATCAAACTTTTGACCTGGGCATCATCAGCACCATGCTTTCACCAACAGAGCTATCCACCTGCTCCCTTGATGCCTCTATGCTCCATGTCCAGGGTGCTGAATCTCAGCTTTGAAAACCACACTCTGCTCAAGGCTGATTTCTCCCTTCCCACTGTGGCTGACCACGGAGCAGAGGAAGAGCAGAGCCATAGGCACATCAACAAAGGGATGGCCAAAATGTGGGACCAGAAGTGCACAAAATTGCTTGTGTTCCGTTTTTGGGGAACAGAATCCAGATGCATTAGAAAACTGGGTCTTGGCAGCAGGTGATAGATGAGAATCGGGGAGAAGTTTCAGTGGTGCTATCAGGGCAGGACTCTGGGACAGAAGACCAGAGAGCCATTCAGCAGAATGAGCAGGAGAACCGCTGAATGCAGCCAGTACCACATTTGAAGTAGTGAAATAAAGACTGTGCACAGTTGGGTGAGAGGACCAATAAATCTGGAGTCTCAAATTACCTAAAGGAGCTTATTCCTCTCCTGGCAGCCTGCTGGTAGCTCTTTCAGAAAGCTGATTTTACCCCTTACTTAACAACAGGATTTTTGTTTGTTTGTTTGTTTGTTTAATCAAGTGCTCTAAGCATCCACCATGGGAGCCCCAGTTCTTGAAGCATCTACAGAAGGTGAGATTAGAGGTGCATTTAAAAATAAATAAATCCCACTCGAATACACACTTGTTTGCTTGGAAAAAAAACATTTACAATTATGTCTGCTGCTGTTGTGCTCAGAGACCCATTTCAGATTTGAGGATTATCCCGTTCTGCAGACACTTTCATGTTTATCTCAAATGCCCAGGTCTATCTTGCTTCAAGAGCTGTCCCCTCTCTTGCTAGAACCTGATATTCACTAATCTGGGAGTAAATTCCACTGAATTCAGTATGGCTTATTAAGTATAAGTGATTTAATTCACACAGAAATGAAAAAAAATGTATTAATGAAGGTTTAAAATGGAAAATAGCTAAATCTGGAAATTAGCAAATACCCTTAGCTGTCTTTCATTTATTTCATGAGAATGTTCCAATTAGGGATGGTTGAATATGTCAATTTTTGTTTTCCTACAGTTCTCATTTTTCCACACTTACAATTAAGCTCTCCACATTTCTGCACAGGTTTGCAATTTTTAAAATGTCATTGGGAAAATCCGCCACTATTTCAGTGCAAGTTTCTTCTTTGTATGCAATTTTGCCTAATATATACGTTTTTGCGAGGCAAATTCACCTGATATAGTGCATTTTCATATGCTATTTTCACCAAATTTCATGCACACTTTACTCAGTGCCTGCATTTTTAGGTGCATCATTTAGTCATATAACTGTATTGCAAAATTTGTAGAAATGTGAAGTTTGAAGGATTGCTGTGTTTTGGTTTGCATACCCTTTCAGAAAATGTTAGGTAGGTTCACCCTCAAATGAGTACAGAATCAAAATTCTCCCCCATCCTTAAAATATGTCATGGGCTGGTTGGATAGAGAAATGCTGAAGGGCACCAGTTGGGGAACCCCCAAAGGAAGAAGGCTCAGAGCCAGAGGATTGGTAGTGGGATGACAATGCGTGGTCATAGGGAGAAGAGGGAGCAGACTGGGAAATGGAAGTGTCAGGAGCTGAAGAGCTAACAGGGTTTGCTTAGTGAGAAGGGAGAGTCTGTGGCAGAGAGCAGTCCAGAATCAGAGGCAGGAGAGGAGGGGAACCAAGAAGCAGAGATAAGTCGGGTTGCTGAAGAAGTCAGGGAGTCTCCATCTCCTGCTGCCACCAGCTGTCTTTCCCCCTGGTTTCCCAGAACCAGAAGAGGTATGAAGAGGGCACAGCAAAAACAGACAAGGTGAAGAAGTCTCAGGTTGCTGGGGAAGAGGAGGAGGGAGGAGGAGACTTAGGGAGCAGTGGGAAGGAGGGGAACTTCAGTCCTCGCAACTGCCTCATTGGGGCAAGACCTACTGGGAAGAGTTCCCGCCCTCACTAGAAGAAGAAGAAGAAGAGTTTGGATTTGATACCCCGCTTTATCACTACCCGAAGGAGTCTCAAAGCAGCTAACACTCTCCTTTCTCTTCCTCCCCCACAACAAACACTCTGCGAGGTGAGTGGGGCTGAGAGACTTCAAAAAGTGTGACTAGCCCAAAGTCACCCAGCAGCTGCATGTGGAGGAGCAGGGAATCAAACCCAGTTCACCAGATTACGAGTCCACCGCTCTTAACCACTGCACCACACTAGGCCTGCTTGAGCTGTTTTGTTTCCTTGAATAAAGAGTTAACTTCGCTGACACCTTGAGAGTTATTCCTGACCTGTTCCCGACTCTCGCCTTGGCAGTGTATAATTTTGCCATTTTCTAGAAAGCAAGTGGATGTCTTCCCATAAATATAGTCTTTAAAAACTTTGCTCCTGGGGCTTTAAAGACATGACGGGTTTGTCTTAACACTGCCATTCTCTGCTGTTTTACTCCGTTGTTTTATTACAGCTATATGCTTTCATTGTTTTATTGATTTTACGTGGAGCATCCTTACACTGAAGGGTGGAATGTCAATATATAAAAGCAAGCCAATGGTAAATAAGGTAAGAAACGGCCGAAAACTGTAACAGATATCATCATTAATTTTAACAAGCAATTATTTAATGGTTGAGTAATTAAAAATAACAATGAAGTTGCCTACAAGCTTTACAAATCAGAAAATTTTCAAGGCCACCAATCTAAGATGAAGAATTTCATCTAGTAAGAATGTTCACTAAACAGCGATGCATACAACAGTGGAAAAGAGCAGTGAAATAATCACAGGTTCCAAATGCGTAGGCAACCAAATAACAGAAAGCTTAAAATGCACTTCTATTTAACTATACTCGGGTGTGGCATAGTGGTTTGAGAGTTGGACTAGGATCAGGGAGACCAGAGTTCAAATCCATGTTCAGCCACCAAACTCATGGGTTGATCTTAGGCCAGTCACTCACTCTTTGCCTAACCTACCTCTCAGGGTTGCTGTGAGGATAAAATGAGCTTCACCTTCTCCTCCACCACCACCCAGTTATAAGGCTTTATTGCATTTCCAAACATTTTATTGCTTTTCTTTGCAAATTTTATCCATGGAATCATAGAGTTGGAAGGGATCACAAGGGTCATCTAGTCCAACCCCCCATGCAATGCAGGAATCTTTTTGCCCAACGTGGGGTTCAAACCCACAACCCTGAGATTCTGAATCTCAAGTTCTACCGAGCTATCCTGTCTGAGGGTTTCAGCACAAATATATTTATAGATAAAACATATTTGTGTGTGTGTGCGTTATTCTTTCTAAAGTTGCTGCTAATAATAATAATAATAATAATAATAATAATAATACCTTTATTGTCAATGTACAACCTGTGTACAATGAAATTAACTGAACCTCCCTCCCCTCCACACAAACACTCAATCTCATTGCACTCTGTGTGCTTGTCGCACGGCACACCAACCCCAAAAGTCAGTTGCACTATATTATTTTCTGTTCAGCAGCCTAACAGCCCATGAATATAAACTGTTTTTTAGTCTGTTGGTACGACTGATTATACTTCTATATCTCCTGCCCGAGGGTAGAAGATTAAAGAGGTGCACTCCACTTAGAGCTGTATTATACAGGCAACGACTGATTTATGCACATATGATTGGCAGAGCCGTAGCTAGGTGATCTTGCGCCCCTGGCAGAAATGTCCAGATTGCACCCCCTAGCCATGGAAAAGGAATGTGGCATGGAAAAAAATAGAGGAAGACAGGGCCCCTGCATATCATATAAAGACTCTTTGTTTAAAACCTTTTATTATGAGGCAATAATCAATATTTTTATTTATAAACATATTTATGGACATATTTCAAAGCTGATTTTGCGTGTCTCCCTCTTGCTTGCATCCCTGGCAGGAGCCTTCCTCACCACCCCCTGGCTATGGCGCTGATGATTGGTGCGTGACTGTGCATGGGCACACAGGTGAACTTAAAGATCACCTGGAAGTGAATTGAAAATGTCCCTAAATGGGCAGAATGGAGGCAGGGCGGGAATGTAACCTCTGTGCAAAATGAAGATTGCCTGTATATTAAGTATAGAAAAAGGTATTCAATAAATAAATCAGTAATTTACAGGCCTGCATACCTGGGAGTAAGCCTCATTGAACTCAGTTGGATGCACTTTTGAGTAGACAGTATTTGATGGCATGGTTAACTTACCTGCGAGAATTGGGCCCTTTCCTAAGCCTACCTGCTTATAAAGTGTGTTCTCCCTCATGGAGAGCATGTGTTGTGGTGGGGGCTAGCAAGACACCCCACTGTTGCTGGGCGGAAAAGAGTTTGGCCATCTTTAAACAGGGGCTGGCTGTTACTGGGGAGATTTATATGTTGCCATTTCTTGACTGACAGCCCTAGTTGCGTGTTGAGTCCCACAATGCCACCCCCCAAAAAATTCACACATCAATTTTTGTTTAAGGTTTTTGGCATAATTTTGGCCACAACTTTATTCAAAATACAAAAAATGTGAGTGGTTGCTTAGGCATTGGTTATGACTATCTGTCCTTGCCCTCAGGGACAGAGCTGGCCTTCCGGACACCAACGGAAGCCAGCGTGGGAAACAAGTATTGGGTGAGAAAATGAAGCTGGGCATCAGTCCCTCACTTCTCACCCTCATGTTCCTGTGGGGCTTGCACGGCCCAAGTCCGATGCCAGGGACAAGGACGAAAAGAATGGCAAGCCCCTGGATTCCTTTAATGGAATTCCCTTTCCGCATCATTTGGAGGGGTAGGCACTTACCCCTCCAAGCACCAATTTAACCAATGCCTAACCGCCAACCTTACAAGTTGTGACGATTTGCTACGCAGTAGGCAAAAACCAAATGGCACCAGCCAATCAGCCAGATGGCAAAATTCCTACCAGGCCCCCGCTCCAAGGCGGACGACCCCATGACAGGCATAGCAGGTCAAGCAATCAAGAAAAAACCACCCTATTAACGGGAGGGAGGGCGGGTGATCAAGTGCAAAACGGCCAAGAGGACGTCCAACGTCTGGCCCCTGTATTTAAAGACTCTGACCCCTCCTCCAAATTGGCAACAGTCAAAACTCCCCAGCAACCCAATTTTAACCACTTAAAGGCTTGGGTTCCTCACCAAATCTGCCCAGTAATGACAGGGTGGCTTGTTCCCCCAACCGCAACACGTGCTCTCTGTTAGGGAGAACACGCTTTGTTAAATGCCCTGCACACAGCGTTGAGCTTCCTCTTTTCGCTGCATGCATCGGATCACCCTCCCTCCCTCCTTAATGTTAGGCTGTTCGCTTGACCTTGCTATGCCTGTCATGGGGTCATCTGCTTTTGGGGCAGGGGCCCGGTAGGAATTTTGTCCATTTGGCTGATTGGCTAGTGCCACTTGGTTTTTGCCTACTGTGTAGCAAATCGTCACAACTTGTAAGGTTGTGGTTAGGCATTGGTTTTGGGAATTGGTTGGTGGAGGGGTATGGATTTGGCTGTGCCTGCCCCTCCAAAATGCTGCTGCTGCAAGGGTTTTCCGTTAAAGTAACCCAGGGGCTTGCCATGCTTTTGTCCGAACCCCTGGCAAGGGGCTAGGGCCACGCAAGAGCCCCTGGGAGCATTTGGGGAGAGGGGAGGCATGGTTCCCAGTCCCGTCTCTCTCCCCGGGTGACTTACCCTTTCTGACTTTGGGGGGTGTGTGAATGTCAGACTGTCCCCATGCGGGGTCAGATAGTCGCAACCAATGCCTAAGCAACCACTCACATTGCTGTAATTTTAATAAAGTTGTGGCAAAAATTATGCCAAAAACCTTAAACAAAAATCAAGTGTCATTGTGTTTTATTTGGGTTGTATTGGGGACCCCGACGCACAAGACATTGTAGTAGAAATTACTTCCAAAATTGTGTGTGTGTCAGAGGCACTGAAACTTGAATTGCAGAACATTTGGCATACGAAAAAGCATTACGGAATTATAAACACAAAGATGTACAGAATGGATAGTTACTGTCTTTATCTAGTTCAAAGTCTGCCTTTTTATAGGAAACAACAAATATTCGCTCTTGGTCCTGCTTTTCTATTTATAGTGAAGTTTTATAGAACAGCTGTATGCACTGCAACCTTTTCCGACGAGTAGAATTCATCTTTATACTGTGATCTCAGCCGCCCACAGCTGACTAACATATGGATGCAAACTCTCGTCCCGCCCAAAATGGTGCCAAGGTTGCATTTGCTAAAAAAAGTTACTGAAAAGTTTTCAATGCATAAATGAGCTTATCTTTTCTCACACTGCATGCAAGAGTTCCCAGTGCGGACACCGGTTCTAACTGTGACTTAGACACTCTGCCTAAGCAACATACCTGATGGTGTTTCATGCATGAGGCAAAACACCTGGATAGTCCCCCTCATCCTCAATTTGTCACTGGGCAAAATCTTGGGGCAAACGAGACAGGAGTTTGGAAGGTCTGCAATATGATCTCTGCAGGGTTACAGCAAAGACTAGGGGTGTTCATCCATTAGTATTTATCTGCTTCTAGAGCTTCAAGAGCTTGGACGCGGGTGGCGCTATGGGTTAAACCACAGAGCCTAGGACTTGCCGATCAGAAGGTCGGCAGTTCGAATCCCCGTGACAGGGTGAGCGCCCGTTGCTCGGTCCCAGCTCCTGCCAACCTAGCAGTTTGAAAGCACATCCAATGCAAGTAGGTAAATAGGTACCGCTCCGGTGGGAAGGTAAATGGCGTTTCCGTGCGCTGCTCTGGTTCGCCAGAAGCAGCTTAGTCATGCTGGCCACATGACCTGGAAGCTGTACACCGGCTCCCTCAGCCAATAAAGCGAGATGAGCGCCGCAACCCCAGAGTCAGCCACGACTGGACCTAATGGTCAGGGGTCCCTTTACCTTTACCTAGAGTTTCAAGAAGTTGCCTGATCTGTTTCAGAGCCACTCTGTGTCTTTCCAATTTGTCTCCTTATTTGGGATGGGATTAGATCTATTAAAAGCGAAACTCGCTTTCACCTTCCCATTCAACAATATTGGAAATCTAAAAACAGATAGAACTCTTTTCTCTTTTCACAGAAGCAGATAAAACTTGCAGGCATAAGAGTCCGTCCCGAGTGGATTAAGCCTGACAAATTGTAGGCAGATTTATCCAGGGGTGTTCATGCAGAGCACCTTTACTTTTTTACTTTTTATTTTTTTAAGGATAAAGTATTTTATGTTCTGATGGAACTGGATATACTTTGCGGGAATACTCACCTCTTCAAAGGAGACCGAGCCTGCTAAGTTTCAGAAGAATAGCTGCAGTGGGTTTCTCACAAGGGTAAACTTTAATATTGGAGTGAGGGAAAATCATAATTCTAGTAGGTCGGGTGGGAAAGGGAGCATGGGACCCCAAGAAAGATGGGAGTGGTGAAAGTGTTACCATCCAGTAAGGATCATGATTCCTAAGAGTCATGGAGAGGGGGCTTCTGCTTGTATTTTGGGGGACACAACTTCTTTTCCCTGGGAGAGATCTATCCATTAGCTTACGTTGGAGAAGGGGTGTAGGAGGAAGAAAAAGTGTGGCTTCCCAGGAGAGACTGAGGTGAGAGAATTATCAGCCTTCCAGCAAGGATCCTATTACCCAAAGGCTCATAACTGCATTTTTAGCCTGTTTGAAGCCCTTCACATGCATGAAACCATGTGAAACCATGGAATTACCCACTCAAATCTCATGATAACAACCATTTCTGCTACACACAAGAACAGATTGCTGTGCTCCACAAACACAAAACAGCTATAGGAATTTCAGAAGAAGCGCAACAAATCCGAGGCTGAAAACTTCTAAGATTATATCTAAACTACAGCAGCTACTACCCTTGAAGCACAAATCTTTGCACTGGGTTTCCAATATGTGGAGGGGAGCCAGAGATGTTTTGCCAAATGTCACCCTTATGTTATAGTTTCTGAACACTTTGTCACTTTGGCCTGATCTGCAACTTGCAACAGAATGAGGTGGTTGTAGAAAAATCCTAAAATGATAGGGGAGGGAGGCTGTACCACTTCTGACTGTGAGTCAGAAATGCCATTTTTTAAAAAAACTGTTCCTAGGTTTAAAAAATCCTATCGCCTCAGGCTTCTGCTTCTCTGCTGTATGTGTAGACTGACCAGATTTTAGTTGTCCAGTGCAGCAAATGCAATTCTAAACTGCAGAGGTACCTTGGTACTCGAACGACTTAGCTCCCGAACAAATCGTTCCCAAACGCCGCAAACCCAGAAG